CCCCCCAAAGAAACCCCAAGCAAACAAGCAAGAAAAGAAACCCAGCTCAACCAGGAGCCAGAACATGCTCAGTTAAGTCAATCTCTGGAATTTGTTTTCTAAAAATCTATCCAGTTCCACACAGTGGGATTATTAAATGCCTACACCTAGATCAAATTCAGACCTTCCTTTGAGAGACTGAATTTAAATACATCTGTGACACAAATGCTGTCTCTGCCTAAATCACTATTTTACACCAAGACTTGCAAACATTTAAAAGTAAATGCTTCAAAAGCTTAATATCACAAATACAAAAAATTCTAGCTCTAGTGAAAGGTCAATGATGCTTCGCACAAATGAAAACCGGGTTCCAGAACTTGAAATGAAGAGCAGTTTAAATTAATTAATGGTGGTGTTCAGGAATGTTGATGCCCTCATTTAAAACCACAAGGTAATGACCTTATTTTGCATTTCCCTGTTGTTAGAAATATTCAAGATATAAAAAACAGTTACAATTTGCAGCTGAAGAGCTAGTAAAGGCCACTTTTTAAATGCTATGAAGAGAATACAACTTTACACAGACTGGTATTTTCTGTACCATGTACAAACTCACCCACTGATTACTTCTGGAAATTTTGGAGAAGCTGTTTCTAAACCACTTTTTTGTTGCTGGTATTTATTAATCAGGTCCATCAGCACTGCCTGGTGCCCAATCTTCTTCACCAGCTGCTGCACCATACGATCATTAAGAGCCAGAAGAGCTGCTCCACTTACTTCTTCTTCTGTAGATTGCAGAGGATTAAAGAATTAATGGAATATAACTTTATCATTACAGAAACATTCTATATGCTTAAAAACATGATGATGGAGTACAGGTCAAAGGCAAGGATGCTTTCTACTGCTGATGGTCTTCACCTGCTAAACAGATGATGTTTTTGCTACTGTCCTTTCCCAAGCAGTGTCAGGAGCCCTAATCACCGGCCAGACACCTTCCCCTGACAAAAAAAAGCCAAGTCTGAAACATACAGCAGCAGCGAGCTGACTATTTTAATGCTTTAAATCAGGCCTTGCTTAGACCACAGCAGACTGTCACTTCATTAGTGAAGGAAAGTAAGCTTTCTAAGAGAGCACACACCAACCAGCCTGTTCGCCTGAGTTTCTCATGCACTCCTTTGTAGAGTGGTTATATACAGAGGCATAAAACATTTACACATTACAGTTGCATCATTTCAAAAGATTTACACAATATAAAATAGGCCCTGTCAAGCCTTTAAAGCTGCCAGCTCTGATTCAAGGTGTATCTGTTTATATGCAGGCTTAATCTCATCCCCCAGCATTTCTCAGAGACTTTGTAAGAAACCTGCACACTTATTTTGCTTTATCAGATCTATGTCAGTTCTCACCCTAATAAATTTCTGCAAAAGTCTGAAGTTAGCATAAATATACATGCCTCAAAACAAGGCAGGCAGTGCCAATTAGAGGCATAGAAAGAAAAAGTAAACAAACCCCACACAAACAACAAAAATGCTTACCACGAAACTTAGGAACTAGTTCTCCTAAATTACTCCATCTCAACCAGTTGCAGACTTGATCAACCGACCAATTTTCCATCTTCAGGTGTTTCAATGCTAAATTTCATTGTGAAATGAAAAGAGAAGATTATTTTTATGCTGAACTCTAAACGGAACTCCAACATTTCATAGGAAAAAATGCACTTAGCAAACAATATCACACTTACAAGCTCTGAATAGAAATAGTGCAAAATAATCCAGCTAATGCCTGTTGCAAGTGGCAGCTTCCTTGAATCCCTTTCTTCACCTCCTCTCCCTTCCCTGCTCTCCCTCTGCTCTGAGAGCCAGCCTCATTCCTTATAAAACACGACCTGTTCCAGTACCATTAACACCCAGGTTTCCACACAGAGAAGAAAAAAAGGTGTGAAATTCACCACCACCAGCTCATCAGGAAATGGCTGACATTTTACAGAAAGAAAAAAACCCCCCAAATCTACCATCAGAGAAGAGTCTGTCACATATATGTTTATAGTAAATCAAGCACCTTAACCCTCTCTGCACCACAAGCAGGTACTCAAGCAAATACTTAACCCTCAATTACCAACAATTAGGGGCAATACATGTCCTGGAAAATGGAGGGGAGAGGACTACTCCTCCTGTTCTTTGCTTGTCCCGTCCTCCAGGCTCCAGCGCTCCCTGGACCCTGACCCCCACTCCTGGGTGAATGAATCCAGCAGGTACCATGTGCCCCTTCCCCGAAGGACTGGCTTGAATCGCGAGGGGGTACATGGCATGCCAACATCAACAGCAACCTCCTCAAGAGAAGACACTGATACAGGCAAAGCTTGTTCTGCTCTGCCAACTCCTTGACAGCAGAAAACTTTTCCCGAGGGTGATTTTCTTATGAACGTGTTTTACTACGATATGAAGGAGCATCAAGTGCTCCATGACTCTGCTTGAAATCCACAGCAAACAGCATCAGAGGAAATGATTGGAACAAGTATTTCAGATGAGAACACGAGTGTCTGACACTGTCAGCAAAAAGTTTTCTTGCTTAAAAGACATCCATGAACATATCCTTTTAGCAGGGGCTGTAGCGATAGGACAAGGGGTAATGGTTTTAAACTGAAAGAGGATAGATTTAGACTAGATATAAGGAAGAAATTTGTTACAACGAGGGTGGTGAAACACTGGAACCACCCAGACAAGTGGTTGAGGCCACATCCCTGGAAATATTCAAGGTCAGGCTGGAAGTGGCTTTGGGCAACCTGATCTATGTCCCTGCTCACTGCAGAGGGGGTGGACTAGAGGACCTTTAAAGGTCCCTTCCAAACCAAAACATTCTATGATTCCACCCTGAGCCTGCAGTGAACTCCAGGCCAGCATGAGGATTCACCCACACAAACCTCATCAGAATCTGTTCCACTGCACTACCAAAAAATGCACACCATCCTTGAATAAAACCGTTTGCATTTTCATCCTTCAGCAGCAGAGACCCTCAAAATAGGTGCACTTCAGCTTATGCTCTTGTGCCACTAGACTTCGACAACCTAAAAGGGTTAAGAGGAATGTCTTTCTGAATTACATGAGTGGATTTCATTTGATATGACAACAGTAGCCATAAAACTCCTCCCCAGGCTAAGCAGCAATAACAGGGTGTGAAAAGTCATTATTTGTTGAGAACTCTGGTGTAAATTAAAAATCACACCTTCCTGTCACACTTCTTACTTCCTTGCAAAGAGTAGGGCAAAAAAAAAAAAAAAAAAAAAAAAAAAAGGCTCCAAAAACTTGAAAGACAAATCCGAATGCAAAGCAGCAAGATGCTTGCCTTAACAACCAAGCAGTGTAAAAGTAGAAAGATACATGAAAGATACATTAAAATGGTGGAAAGGTCACTGCTTCATCCTATAAGACGACTAGCATCCTAGAAGATTCCTGCTAAAAATCCTGCTGACGCAGACGTGCAAATACCAACATTTCAAAAAGTGTCAAGCAAACTACAGCCATGCACCACAATATGCACATTTAGCCCCATGTCTACAGGAAAATGTCCATTTCCACGTGGAAATGCTGGCTGTACACTTTAGGGTGGGAAAGCATCAACAGTTTAGAGGATGTTTAAAAAAAAATAAATCTGATTTTATGTATTAAAGGTCATTACACTCAAATACTTCCAAATGTTTTCCAAAAGTGATTTCACTTGCTTGCATATACTGTTGATAAAGGAGCTAGGAAAAGAGTACACCAGTCTTCTAGCAGCATTATGAAGGCAAGGAGAAAGACTGGGCATGGATGTTGGCCTTTGTCTTCATTAATGATTCTATCAGTTACAGTAGCATCAAAAGACTTTCCTTGTGCTCAGGGAATATTTATATTTTTCAATCAACTCTTAAAAGTCAGAACAACAAAAAACCAACAATGGCAACATTTTAAAGGCAGACAGTATTTTAGCAATTTACAACATAACTTCAAGTCAAATTCAGAACAGTTCTAAGTGTGAATGTCTGTTAATAAATACAGCCAATCACTGGGACTCATTTCTTCAAATGCCTAGGGTGAATGTCTGTCGTTAGGACTTAACCAGCCCTGGTTAATGAAATTAAGTAGTGAAAGGAATGAAAATTAATTTTCCCTAGGATGAGTCAGGACAACACTTGCTTTTACTGTAAAATCCTTCAAGACTGAAGGATGAAAATCTTGGCTTTTAATCAGATCAAGCTAAAGACCTATCTACAGTACAGATTTCTGCTGATCTAGTTGGTTACACAGTAACAAGGGATGAGGTTCCTGACCAGCATGCCTGTGCTGGCAGATCCATACTACCCGTGCACTAATTTACCATGCAGTGTGTTTTATGAGAAGATATAATGAGCTACCATCAACTTGAAGTTCATTCTAAATGAATAAACCTATATGTCAAAACATTTTAGACAGGAAAAGTTACTTATTATATCTACTTTACATGTTGACTTGTGAGAGAGTCTATGATATGACAGACTACAAATACAACAGCCTTTAACAGGCCTCTACCTGGATGTTGCTGAGATCAGAATTAAAGTTAATTTTAGTACATTTTAGTACTAGAGTGAGGAATGTGATGCATGCACAACTATACATAACAGCTATGTGGTGCATTTTGTACAGGGCCAGGTTGCAAAGTTACAAGTGTGATGAGTAGAAATTGGTGCATACCAAAGATATAAGCAAAGAATTCCGTTATTTTTTCTTCCCACTTACTATCAAACTACTTTAAAAATAATTAAAAATATAAAGGGCAGAATAAGTCATCTTGGGTCAGTGCTGAGATCACGAAAAGGATGTAAATTGACCACTAACCCTTTCAATAACATATAGGGAAATACTCTAAGGGAGCACCTATGCCCTACCCCCCCAAAAAAAATGCTTATCGCTGACATTTATCAGGCATACGCCAGCATGGAGCGTTGCACTGAATGCACACAGAGATGGCCAAAAGAAAAAATATGGGGGAGGGAAAGAAAATTTGAATACCAATATAGGAGCAAATCTCAAAGTGCACATTTGAGTTCTCATTTCTATGCCACAGAGTAAGACACATGCAGCTGCTTAAGATCAAGAGATGTACAAACATACAGCAGATGCAAGAGAAAACCTGTATCACCTAAGGTTAAGGCTATATAAGAAAGTCTAGGAGGAAAACATGCACAACCATTACTCAGATGTAGATAAAGAGGAACAAGCCAGATAGCCTTTCTAAACTTTAATGAGAGTTAAGGGGAGTATCAAGGGTTCTGAATGTGCCCATCTATTAAGCTTATCAATCAGACAAATTCTCTGCTGCAGGAATTAACTCAGATGAATATTATTAAAAAAATCAACTCTTCTTAATACATGTGCTTCTGATCAAATATGCTGTTTCTAGTATCCACATTTCTACTATATGAACTTTAAAAATATTTTCATCTGCATTGCTACTAGAAAAATGAGCTGTCCCACTTCAGCAACAAGATTCAACCCAAGTACCAAGTTACAGCTGAACAAGTTACTTGGTAATTTGAAAGGGATAAAATAAAGTTAATTTATCTATGTTTTAAGGTGATGTAATAGTTATGCAGATGAGACTCTGTCCTTGCTATCATTGGCAACATTGTGCAAGCCATGAAATAACACATTTAGCTATAGAAGAAAACACTTTTTTTTTTTTTTTTTTAAGAACACAACTTCTGGAAATTAAGTGCCTATAAAATCAAACCCTTTTATATTCAACTTTAAAAATACTCTGGCAAATTAAAAATACAAGGTTACTGGATATTGAGAACAGGAAAAAAATCAAGTAAAGGTTAAAAATTCATGAATCACAAAAATGAAATCTCATATACTGTAAAGAAGGCAATCAAGCTGAAGGTCTTCAGTACAACACAGAGACTGCTTCAGAACACTAAAGAAAGAAGTAATTTCTTCTTGTAATTGATATCACACTGACTCTTCTTTTTTCCCCCAGAAGAGAAGTACAAATTTCTCACCAGGACCATCAGTACTTTTTATCATGGCACTGTTTGTTGGCTTAGTGAAGGAGTCCAGCTCCTGTCACAGAGCAATGCAGAGACCTCTGACACTTCAGCCCTGAAGTGTGATTCCTCAGTAGCCAATTAGTAGGATGCTCACAGCTCACCAGCCCTTTGAAAGAGTAAAGCAAGTGAATGTGTTTAAAGCACAGGAACCAGGTCTGAGTAGCTCAGGTGTAGACACATCTAGATTTTGTTTGGCTTGTGCTGAAGACAGCCAGCCGTGGGAGTGGCAGGGGATATGGCCAGTCTCTCCTGCACTAGCCCTTCCTTCTTTCCCCAGCAAGGTGAGCAGGACACCCAAAGGCAGGAGGAGTCATGCACCTCCCCAGTAAGAGATATCAACTTCTATTAGGAATCACCAAGCCAAAGACCAGAGCACCGCTGCTAAGCAGTGCATGCCACTGCCTAACACTTCTTGGATTGTTATTTTAGCATGATTGAGGATTGCTGAATTTTATGGTTACTAACCACTGACAGCACTCCTCCTCCATTTTATCCATCACACAAGTACAGAGATAATGATGAATAATTAAGTTTTAATACATTTCACAAT